TAGGTGCGTTTTTAGCTGCGGAGCTTTGTCACGCAACAGCTGCGTACTGTACAGTGCGAGGATAGCGCGAGTGCAGTATGAAGACGGTGTCCGGGTGTAACCGCGCTAAAGTCTTGTTCCTGCGCATTCTAGGCGAAGAGTAGAGTAGTGCGCTACTGCAGCTGAGGACCATTCACCTCGCACATAGAAGGGACTATTCTCGGAAGGTGGATGGACGTTTGTCTAAAAACAATGCGTCAGCCTCCAATCGGTGGCCGAAGGCATCAGTCGTCTCCAGAAGATCTGATACTGATTTATCCGCCCCGAAGGAATGGGAGGAGGGTGGCTTGGTTGGTGCAGGCCGGCTTCGACCTATCTCTGTAGTAAGCGGCGCCACACTTACCATTATACCCTCCCCATGAAAAGGAATAAAAAGTAAAGGCACATGTACCATAGCAAGACTTGTGTAGTAAGGTTGACCCACGAATTTATAAGAGCTGAGTTTGCAACGAAAGCAGCAAAAGAATCTGGGAGTAGGGCAGGGCTTCAGACACATTACCTGCTCCTGTCACGCCACTGTCAGATGAAGTAGCTCTAGGAAGCTGCCGCCCTTCCTAACCAGGGCACGTCCTGCTTTCTGGGAAAATTTCGCATACTACAACTGGGAGGAGGGGAGTGCCCTGATCCTACTTGGTGCATTGGAGAGAGGCCACCTCTTAAGGAAGAGCGAAAAAATGCCCTTTTTGGGTTAGTAGTGAGCGCTGCATTATGCATTGAATCAGAAGAGATAGAACTTGATGTTGTCAAACTTACCCTGCCAGCATCTCCGTCCCGTTTTGATCGTTTGGTCGCATGGGAGCTAATTTCAAGTAGCCTACACGGTATGTGTACAACGTGTTCCAACGCTCCCAATCCGTCAAATACCATTGTTGAACCTGAGCAAGCAGAACACTTCCTGCGAAAAAACAGGTCAAAAGGCCTCTAGCTGATTACCTGATTAAGATTGATAACCTCCTCTTGAGGCTTCCAGCGATATTCGTAGCTGTTTCGATTGGTGTAAGTCGCCAAGCGTGCCAAAACACGATGTTCAGGACGGAATTTTTTGATCTGCAAAGTTAGTGATTTACTTCTTGAAGTACGGAATGATCGGACTAGAATGATACCTCATCATCCTTGTACTCTCTGTAACCGATCACATACAGACCGAGTTGGACCCCATAAAGAGCGTCGTCCGATATTCTCGTACCAACTTGGTTCAAATTGTTGAATAGTTCGGGATTAGTGAAGTTTCGTGGATACCATGTGATGGGCATCAACTGAAAAATGTGGCTCACAGGATCAATGTTCAGGGGTCACTAGGAGGTAAGGCAGTAGTAATTAGGGGGGGGGGGGGGTGATAACACCATGCCATGTCGGCTCATGTCTTGTCGAGTTCTCTCAAAGCTCGAAAGTGGATAAACGCGTCAGCTTCCAGCTGGGTTGGGAGATATGGACAGCCGGGATGACAAGACGCAGCCGCTCCGCGTGACAACCCTTCAACTTCCTTTGTTCAATAATGTTTGTACGCTTCCGCGAATTTTTTTGGATCAAAAGGAGGGTACCCAGAGCTCCTCCTCCCCTACTTGAAGGCAGTGGTTGTGTTGGCAAAGAGGAAAGGAGGCAGTTTGAGCGGAAGCGAAGGGGACTACATCGCCAGAGCGCTAGGAAAAGGGTGAGAACCGTTCTGCCATCAACGTTGAACTGCTCAACCCCTCCTAGCCACCATACCTACTACTTTAAACGACTAACTTCAAGGCTGCGTTCATGATAGATGTTACCCCAGAAAGGATGCAGTCTTGTCTGATGCGGATGATGGGGTGTGTCAGTGGGGCTACGTTTGGCGCGCCACCAGTCCTTCTCCGCCAGTTGCTGAAGCGAGTGAGTCCACAGTCAATGAAAAGCGATTGATACGAACGATAAGATACAGTCTTCTCGCTTGCCAAAAAGGAAAAAAAGGAGGAGACTGCTGGCCTCACGCCAAACCTATCCCCCTGAATTGCCGCACCATCTGCAGTGAACAGGACTACAGGGCCCCTCCACCCGGCGCTCAGATAAGCATTGTACATCCGAGCAATGCAAGCGCTGCCACCGTGCGCGTCATTCACACCACAACCTATCTGATTCATCATGAAACCACTGCAGCTTTTCTATGTCCCACCGTAACCTGAATTTCATACAGTAATCCCAAAATATCGTCTGTACTCACATAGCTTGGCATTGGATTCTTATACCATTCGTACAGGCTTCCAATATCCAACCGCTGCGGGTCCAATGTAGGCGGCACTGAAAACAGCAGTTCAACTTTTAGCTCACCAATATCGTAGCGCTAAATGTGCCTAGACAAGGGCTACTTAGGTTGAGGACTCAAATGTTGCAAAACACGTGCAACATTTAAATCCTTCTGAACCTTCAATGGTGCAATACTAGGTCAGTGAAACTCTTACCAAAATAGATGTATCCCACGAATGCCTTCTCGTCATTGGCACCTTTCGATTGTGGTTGGAAATAGACAGTCTTGGTGCCCCAGTCATAGATTTTTGGTAGACTGCAGCGGGCTATGGCTGAGTTGATCACAACGCATGAGGCAACCTGGAATAGAAAGCAAGCTGTCAAACTGTCGGACTCCACCATGACACAGCCCGACGCACTTCGGCGACGAGGGGGGAGGGGCATTCTGCTTTCCATCGATGTGCCGACCCATCTAGATAGCCGTTTCTTGAGCCATGGTGGCTCGACCATGATAAAACGTGTCAACTCAAGGCTTCAGCTCCAACTTTACAAGAGTTCACAAGTTCCACCAGAATAAGACTTGTAAACTAGAAGTAGTGAAGCAATGAAGTGCAAAATGCCCCTCCCCATCGCCGAAGTGCGCCAAACACTCCAACCCCCCACTCCTTTCCCAACGAAGAAGCCGACGTTGGTCCAATTATGCAGCCAAGCAAGAACTGCTGCTCTGCCCGAATTCACCTTACCTCTCTCTCCTCTATCATCAGAATGTACGTTTGACTCCGTTCCAGACACAGCGCATTCACATCTACTGTCATCTCACCGAGCATATTCACAATGTTTGGATAGATCATCATCGGATCTAAATACATCAAATTTCGAACTAAAGTAAAATTAGAAACGACCAGGTCGACTTTCTCTTTTGGCATATCTTCAAGCGGATTGTATAGGTTGAGCCATCCAAGAGTTTTATTACTCACTGGCCCTCAGGGCCTTGATCTCAGCCGCGATGAGGTGAGATCGACCCCAGTTGTAGTACCGCTTACAGTGACAGCTTGGGTGCGATATCACGTCATTGCGGCTGAGATCAAAGATCTGACGAAGGCGTAGAAACCTAAATGTTGGCCAATGAATTATAAAAATCTTGGACGGCTGAACCTACAGGGATGGGGAAAAGACACTTTTTTCCTCAACTTTCAAAGCGAAATAAGTTGCACTTCATTAACTTCTGGTTGGAGATTTCTGGTGATTTCTCCGCGACTGTAGACCACATTGTTGAGCTCCGCCCAAACCCGGTAATCGAGGAGGTTTAGGTCAGGTGACACACTTGGATATTCCATCTTCTTCAGGTACTCAACGCCCTTCCATTCCAAGTAGGCGAAGTTTTTCCAACGCCCTTCGATTCCATGTGTGTCACCCAATCCTGTAGCAGTACGAAGTTTCCAAGATGGTACGGGCGACGACATGAAGGCAGGATATTCTCCTTTAAGTTGATTGATGTAAGCGTTCACTTTCAGCCCAGGGTCCACGAAGACAATATCGGTCCTCCCTTTCCGGGAACTTTTCGGTCCATACCACCAACCCGCGCCTTGGCGACTGCGGTGAAGATGATATCCTGGACCGTAGCGACGTTGTCGGAGCTGCTCGATGTTGGAGGTCTTTCAGATCAAGAGCACTGGTCCCGGTAGCTGTATATGGGTGGCTCCGTACAGGAAGTTTCGCAGATGTTTGGAGGTGACGTGAATTCCAAAGGCCTTCTCCAGTCAGGCTGCGACTGGAGATGACTTCATATTTGGTGTACATGAAGGTGATGGGCGAGAGCCAGCTCCTGCTCAACCATGGAACATCTTGGGATATCTTACGCCCCTCCTATGCACATCTTCTCTCTGGACTGCGTATTCTTTGATATGTGCCTCGGGCGAAGTGTCTTTGTTTTGTCCCTCCCCCCAACTGTATAAAATCGCTTAAACTCAGAAACTTCACTCATTTATTTTACAATTCACAGTTTTCATGAGGGAAAATATGTACCAGCACTTACATGTTCCTCCCGTTTTGTTGCTACAACCGGCTGGACGGACAACGTCGTCCACACGGAACATATAACGACCTCGGACCACATGAGGCACACCAGACCGTTGCGCCAGTATCTAAATTCGCGAATGAATTCAATTTATCCGAGCAACTCCGACCATCTGTAACTCCGACCACCTGATCAGAGGGATAAAAGGAGATTTGAGACTGTAACCATATCGTTCTATAGAGGGCAAGTTGGACTTTCAGGTGAAGCTGGCGATCCTCCTTCCTTGTGCGCTGTTAGGTACTCTCCAGAGCAGCATCGCTGGGGAGGGTTCTTGCAGAATACGACCCCCTCCACTTCCCCGGAATTTGTTCCTCCCTTACGAAGCTACCTTCCTTCCCCTATTCTACTTACCGTTTTTCTAAGTTCCCACCAACTTCTTACCTTTTCCCCAGTTTCAGAAGGAATTTCCCATTTTTCCCTGAAAAGAGCCCCCGTCGAGCGGGGGAGGATTAAGCGGTGGGAGCACGGGCTTGTAAAGGAGTCTGACCGCGCGAGCGGGGAGGGGGAGGGGAGCGGCCCCTCTCAACAAGACCAGCAAATGCGATCCCCTCCAATGGAAGCCTCCCAACGTTGTGGATAGCGTGCGTGAAGCAGAAAACATCAACTATCAAAGGAAATTTCTCAGGCAAAATGCGAACATTTCCCTCCTGCGACAAAGTAAGACCCCCTCTCGCTTCTACCTCCCTTATTCAGAGGTAGGATCCAATTACACGCTGGAGAATTGGCAGGTGTCGAAGTTACCAGAAACCCGTTGTGGAAAAACAGTGGGGCCACAATAAAATGCTGACGGTTTGCAAGTAGCACCACTAGATCTAATAATAGAAAGACATCGTATAAACTCCTTATTTTTTGAAAAACTGTAGATCATTAACAAAAAAAACTGTTCGCTACCTTGGGTGTATTTTTATAAGGCTTGTGTGGGGTCCACTTCAACAACACCGGTGTGATTTCCGCCATTGAACAATGCCTAAATCATTTAAATCAGGTAATTTGTAAACTGCGTCATAAAATACAGATGTCAAGGACATACTCGGCAGCGTCCACTCCTCGAATTCGCCCGGAAGTCCTGAGCATCAAAACCTAGCCGATCGTAGTTGAGAATAACGTACGATAGACGTCCTGGCTGATCGGTCAGCCAAATAGCCTGAAAATCGTTTTCGTTGCAGGAATATCTTGGAAATGAGGTACTTTAGTTACTCGTTTGTCTTGAAGTGAGCCAACAAATGCACTGTTCTCGCGAATCTCTCGAT